GTAGATGAATCAAATGGCGTTGGCGCAATCAGATTGTTGACGCGGCCGGTCGTATGGGAAGTGATAGAAGCAAAAAACCCAGGCACGCCCCAAAATCGCCCCGAAACTGCACAGAAATGGTCGGGAGGTGCAGAGGATGCATGCCCGCGCTGCCGCGAAAAATGCTGCCTATTTTTGAATCAACTCTGTACAGCAATCTGCATGACGTAAGCATTCTATGACCTTCGCACTTGCCCAACCTACACGCTTTCTGTGCCCACGCACGGATCGTGCACATCACGAGTTCGCCATACCCGCAATCCTATGCAACAGTGGCTATGCTGTGCACATCGGCTCTGCACACGCGCTCTTCCGAGCCCTCACGATCCACGTGCCCGCGCGTGGACCGTGCCCCTCGGCTGATCCCAACATCGCCTCACCTTGCCCCAGACCCTCACGACCCTCGTCAACAATACCACGCGGCGGATATTGGCTGATCTTCACAGTGGTGGATATCGGCTGATTTTTCACAGCGGCCAAACCTTCACCATCCTACACTGACTGCGTCATTCGGTGCACATCTGCTGATCTTAACCTCGACCCAGTCCTCACCATCGTATGCAACATATACTATTCGGCGCACGTCAGCTAATCTTAAACACCGGCATTCTCCGTGGCCCCGAAGAGCGCCAGGGAACAAGAAGCAGACGCATCATTTTCCCGATCGAAGATTAAACATGCAACGCATCGATGCGTTCGGGGACCCCGCTCCGACTCTGATTTGGAACCCAAGCGTTCCCCAGGCTGCTCCAGGCGCCCCTAGGTTTTCCCAGCCGCTTCAGTCGCCCCCCCAAGCGATCCCAAGCTCCATGGCGCAACCACCACCAGCAACAACATCCACATCCTCGTCTCCACCGTCCTCGTCGCCACAGGAGGCGTCAGGAAGCACACGAATCAGATCGCGTTGGCGCGTTCATATTGCTGAGGGGGGTCGATCTTATGGGAAGGGGTTAATTTCTGTTCGCAGCGAGTTGTCCACCCAACCGCCCGCGCAAACATCCCACCCACCCACCCGCAACTTGGTTTGCAAAATCTCTTAAAACCGTGACGGTGGGTACCAACTGGCACTTGGCAACGACGACGACGCCGCCGACAACGACTACGACGACACCGACGACGTCTCCAACGACTTCGACGACGCCGACAACGACGACGGCGACGACGACGACACCGACGACGACGACGCCGACGACGACGACGACGACGAACACGATGACAACGAAGACGACGATGACGACGCCGACGACGACAACAACGACGACACCGACGGCGACGACAACGTCAACGACGCCGACGGCGACGACGACGACGACGGCGGCGACGACGACGACGACGCCGACGTCGACGACGACGAAGACGACGACGACGCCGACGCCGACGACGACGACGAAGACGACGACGACGTCGCCAACGAAGACGACGACGAGGGAGGAGGGAGGACGACGACGGCGACAACGACGACAACGACGACAACGACGAGGGAGGAGGGAGGACGGCGACGACGCGAACGACGAAGAAGGAGGAAGGACGGCGACGCCGACGACGACAACGACGAGGGAGGAGGGAAGACGACGACGACAACGACGACGAAGACGACGACGACGACGACGGCGGCGAAATAGGAGGGACGACGACGAGACGCCGACGACGGACGACGACGATGACGAGGGAGGAGGAGGAAGGACGACCACGGCGATAACGACGACATAAACGACCACGACGCCAAAGAGGACGACGACGACGACGAGCACGAGGAAAGACAGAGGACGACGTAATTAGGCGACGACGACGACGCGGGAGGAGGGAGGACGGCGACGACGACGACGACGACGACGCAAGAGCGCGCGCGCACGCTTTTGTCGAAGATCCGTGTTGCGAAACCTTGTGCTTTTGTAAGCTTTTGGGACACACGATTTCGACATCCTTCCGAACGCGATGGGTTTTGAAGGATTTCGGCATACGCGCGCGACGACGCGCGCGTCTGCACTTCGCCCCATTTTGTTACAAAGGAGTCTCGCGACGGCACACGCGCAAAGGCGTTCGACAGATTTCGATATGCGCGCGCGAAGCCCGTTTGGTAGCATTTTTTTATTATATATATATATACATAAATAAATATATATATATATATATATATATATATTATATAAAAAACCTATGGTTTTCTTAAGATTTCGAAAGAGCTCGCGCGTCAGCTGTTTTAGCAAATCCGTGCTGCGAAACGCTGTGTTTTTGTATGTTGTTTGGGAACTCGGTTGCGAAATCCTTCCGGCACCGAAGGTTTTCGGAGGATTTCGGCATGTGCGCGCGACGACGCGCGCGTGTGCACTTCGTCTCGTTTTTTGCAAGGGATTCGCGAGAAAGTCTTATGTTAGAGCAACAAATGTCCCCACGTATTGTTTTTTACAAGGGAACCTCAGGGGGGCCGATACCGGCCCCCCTGGGATAGTGTAGATTCATATATAGGATGGACATGTGGTCATAATCATATATGATGTACATACCCGAAAGGGGGGCGGATAACGCCGGGGGGGGGGTAGAGTCTATTCTCTTTTTAAACAAGGTGAATGGAAGCAAGACCCAGGCCCGCCCCGAGATCGCCGCGAGACGGCCCAGCTGCGATTGGAAGATGCAAAGTATGCAAGACCGCGCTAGCGCGATAAGAAGCTAGGTCGATCTCATGGGAAGGGCATATGGCGGGAAGGATTGGTCCGCGCAAACACTAGGTGATCCTATACCCCTAGCCCTACCACCCTAATCCTGAGCACTAGCCCTAGCCCTAACACTCTAACCCTAACGCCAAAACACCCGAAACCGAACATCCAAACCCTAACTCCATAATCCTGGCCCCCTTACCCTAACACTGAAACCCTCACACCTGGTCTCTAACACCCGAACCCTAACACCCAAACCCTAACACACCAACCCTAACACCCTACTCTTAAACCCACCACTCTCAACCTAAACCTGACACCCTGAACCTAACACCCTGACCCTAGCCGTAGCACCCAACGCCTAGCACCCCACCCGTAACACTTTCGCCCAAACGCACTGACACTAACACCCTGATCCTAAAGCTGACAGCGCTCTACTTCTAGCACCCTGATTCTGCCACCCCTACCCTTAACCCTGACACCCCTAACCCTCACAGCCTAAGCCTAACACCCTAACCCTAGTCCTAACATTATAACATGCTCACCCCAAAAGAGTAGTTGCACCCCTGGCACCCAAACCCCAGCAGCCTAACCCCAAAACTCTAACGCGACCGCCCTAGCCATGACCCGAACATATCAAGCCGAACGCACCAGAGCCCTAACTCACTGAGTAAGATCCTAACACCCCTTCCTTACCAACCCAAACCCTAACAACCCAACCCCACCAGCCTGACCCTAACAAGCCAGCCCTAACACTCCTCGGCGACTACAATGGGTGCGGTTTGCGAAGGGTGCGGTTTGCCTCCCGTCATATCTGCCCCTCCTGCCCCCGGGAAACGGATGACACTGTCACTCAATGCGACCGAATCACATGACACTGTTGCTCCTTCTAGCACAGTGGAGCACACATCGAGGATAACAGTGTCGCTGGAAACGACGACAAAAGTGACATTGTCTCTCACAAAGGCCCCAGAAAGGCCGCCACGAAGCAACTCGCAAACCGCACCCCGGCGTAACCGCACCGATTGTAGTCGCCGAACTCCAGCCCTAACACCGTGCTCCGAACCCTACCAGCCTAACGTCCTCACCCTAGCTCGTTCACGCCCTAATCCTAACACGCTGATCCTAACACCAAGACCCCCGCACGAAATCCCTAACACCCCTACCGTAACACCCAAACCCTAACAACCCGGCCCTAAAAACCCTACCCGTAACCCCACCGCCTTAGCCCGAACATCCCGACCTGAACCCGAACACCAAACCTTCGCACCCGATCCCTAACACCTACCCCTAGCACCCTCACCCTAATACCCCAATCCTAATTCCTTACACCTAACTCTACAACCCCAACCATAACACCCGAACCGCACTACCATAACACTAACATGCAAATCTACCTCTCACGCCGCAATCCTACCACCTTGACCCTACACCCTGGCCCCAGGCCACCCGAGCCCTGACCCGAACATCCTAACAAAGTCACCCCAACACACGGACTGTGACCCTAACACCTTGACCGTACCACTATGACCCCAAATCGCTAAACCTAACGCCCTGACCCTGACCCGCAATCCGTATCACACACAGACGCCGCAACACACATACAGACACAGACACACACACAGACACACACACATACGACACAGACACAACCATCAACAAAACGGACATGCCTTTTGGCGTCGCGACCACGCGCGCGGCGGCGCGGCGCAGGTCAAGTCAAGCGGAAGCGCGCCGGTTGGGACGCAGGCGCACAAGCACACAGACAACACACCCTAACTCTACGCCCCAACCCTAACTCACTCTCACCCTAACTCTCACGCCCCAACCCTAACCCACTGACCCTAACTCTCACGCCCCAACCCTAACTCTCACGCCCCAACCCTAACTCTCACGCCCCAACCATAACCCTAACTCTCACTCTCCCTAACTCTCACGCCCCAACCCTAACCGAAGACCCTAACCCTCTCACCCTAACTCTCACGCCCCAGCCCTAACACGACTGTCGGCCTAACCCCAGAACCCAGCCGTGGCGACGAGGGGAGAGCCCCCAGGGAATCCTCGCCCTTCCCCGCCCTGGAGGGGGGGGGGAAGGGCTGTGGGAGCCCCCCCCCCGCTTTTCGATTTGAGGGCCATCCACTGGCGCTCTTTCCTAATGGCAGTCATCCTCCGGCCTCCTCCAAGTTCTGTCCTCCCCTCCTCCCTCCATCCCCCCCTCCCCCTCACACACGTCTGCCTCCTCCCTCCTCCTTTGTCCCCTTCCTCCTCTCCCCATCTGCTCTCCCTGTACTACTTCTGCTGCTCGTCCTCCCCCGTCTCCCATCTCCTGTCTCGGCTCCACCGTGGGCTCAGACAGAGAAGCAGGCGAGGACGGCGAACCGCCCCACGTCTAGATCATTATGGGCACCGGCAGTGCGTCAGTGCGTGCGGAGGGAGTCCTCTGGGGAGCTGTGGCGGCGGAAAGAGGAACGGGGATGGGGGAGGGCGAGCAAGACGAGGGGGACGATCAGCGGGGGTGGGCGGGGGGGATGGGCTGCAGGGCGGGCAGGAGAAGGGTATGAGGAGGCACGGTGACGAGGAGGGGGGAAGAGGAGGCGGAAGAGGACGCACGACGAGGACCAGGAGGGGTGTGGGAGGATCACGACGGGGGAGTCCAGGAGGCAGGCAGCTGGGCGGGGGGGAGACGGAGGGAGGAGGATGACCAGATGGGGAGGGGCGGGGCTGTGGGGCGCAGGGGCGATGGGGAGGGGAGGAGGAGGGAGAGGCCCTTCCCTCCTCCCTCCCCTCCCCCCCCGCCCCACCTCGCCCTCCATCGCCCCGCCCCCCCCCCCCCCTCTGGGCCAGGTCATTCTTCGTGACCGGGTGCGGGGCCCTGCTCCTCGACGGACCCCCTCTCGAGCTCTGTGAAGGCATGCGCGGCTCGGCCGCGCCACGCCCTGCCTTCACTGGGCACCCGCACGGCCGTGCCGGGACGCGCTGCCACCAGCTGCCCGCTCGATCGCGCTGCGCTTGGCGGCCCACGCGCCGCGAACACACACCTCGGACGTCGCCGCGGCAGACCAGCCTCATGCCGTCGGCACAAGGGTCGCGCGCTTCGATCCAACCGAAAGGCCCCCGACAAGAAGCAGCCCAACAACCGGCGCGTCCGCGCGGCGCGTCTGAGCGCGCGCCTCCATGCCGGCGAAGTCGTGCTCTCCGAGGTGATGGCTAAGAAGACTGGCCTGGCTCGGCGGCGAGCGAGTGGGGGAAGTGAGAAGGAGGAGGCCTTCTCAAAAGGCTCGGAAGCCCTCTGGCCTTCTGGCAAGTCTTCTAAGCCTTCCCCGAAGACGCAGAACACTTCTCAGAAGGCGCGAGGGCTCCTGAAAAGTCCCGCCGCCTGCCGAAGAGGTCTTCTCCTTCTCACTTCCCCCCCGCGCTCTCCGCAGCGATGGCCGAGAGGACCCGCTGGGCATCCGCACGCGCCTCCAGACAACATGGGGCACCTGGCGCAGCACGCGGCGTCGTCGACGGCGCCCTGCGACCGTCGAGCCCCGCACCTCCGCGAGGGGAGCCCTGCACCTCCGCTGCGGGCAGCCGCGGGCCGTGCGAGGGAGCAGGCGCAGCTGGGCCCCCCCGGGTCTCGAGCGGGCCGCGAGCTCCTGCCCGCGCAGGGAGAGCTCCGAGAGAAGTCTCGGGGGGGCGTCCAGGGAAGGAGGCGTCCAGGAGGGGGGGTCGCAGATCGTGGCCGGAGGCGCGCGCGCGCGGAGGAGGGGCTGTGGCCAGGGGGCGCCGCGGAAGAAGAGGGGGCTCGGAAGTCCGGAGAGGTCTCAGGATGCCCCTCTCCCAGTCCTCGCCCACGGGGCAACGATAATTAGGGGGGGCTGGCATCGGAGGCGGGTGCCTCGACCTGGAGTCGGCGACGCATCGCGGATCGGCCGGCCGTAGGCCTCCGCTCGTGCAGCCACGCCCTCCTGGGAAGGCCGGGGTCATCGGGCACCTCTCGGCGATCCGTGGGCCCCCCTAATTATGCCTGTCCCCCCGCATGCGGCGGGTTTTTCGGCCTCCCCCTCCCCCCCCCCCCCCTCCCCCCTCCCCCTCCCCCCCCCCCCCCTCCCCCTCCCCCTCCCCCTCCCCCTCCCCCCCCCTCCTCCCCTCCCCTCCTCCCCCCCCTCCTCCTCCTCCTCCTCCTCCTCCTCCTCTCCTCCTCCTCCTCCTCCTCCTCCTCCTCCTCCTCCCCCTGCCGCCTTCCGCCGAACTTCCGCAGGCTGCCGCCGGCGGAAACGGCCTCGTCTACTTTCGCCGACCTTCCGCCGACACTCCGCCGCGGAAGGTATGACAACTCCTTCTGCCCGCGAAGGCGAGGCCCTTTCTGGAACGCCCCGTGTGTGCCTGTCTCCCCCTTGTGTTCCCCGTATGCCTGCCTGCCCCCTTCCCCCCCCCGATCGCTGCCCGCCCCTGGCCAGCCCCCCCCCCCTCCTGGCCGCACACCGGGGCGCTGCGCCTTTGCCCCCCCCCCCCCCGCTTGGCTGGCCGCCTGAGTGATTCAGCGCCAGCGAAGCTATGCGATCCGTTCGGTTATTATGAATCACCAAAGGACCAGGCGGAGCCTGGGCTGGTTCTGTAACTAATGAACACAACCCTTCCTATAAGTCGGGTTTGGGCGCATGTATTAGCTCTTTAGCTCTACACTTAACACAATTATCCATGTAAAGAATGACCATCACCCCGGCCCGCCACCTCCGCAGGCGCGGCGGGCTCCGCGCGCCTGTGCCCGGCGAAAGAGCCCCCCGCTCGCGGACGGGGGGCCCCCCGTAAAAAAAAATGAACGCCCCAGGGGTCCGTTCCCGTTCCCGTTCCTGTTCCCTGTTCCCGTTCCCGTTCCCGCTCTTTTTCCTGTTTTCTCGTCCTCTCCGTCTCTCGTCCTCTCTCTCTCTCTCGTCTTCTCTCTCTCTCTCTCGTCTTCCCTGTCTCTCTCTCTCTCTCTCTCTCTTTGTTTTCTCTCTCTCTCTCTCTCTCTCTCTCTCTCTCTTTCTAGTGGTAGTAGTACTAGTGGTAGTGGTAGTGGTAGTGGTAGTGGTAGTGGTAGTGGTAGTGGTAGTGGTAGTGGTAGTGGTAGTGGTAGTGGTAGTGGTAGTGGTAGTGGTAGTGGTAGTGGTAGTGGTAGTGGTAGTGGTAGTGGTAGTAGTAGTAGTAGTGGTAGTGGTAGTAGTAGTAGTGGTAGTAGTAGTAGTAGTAGTAGTAGTAGTAGTAGTAGTAGTAGTAGTAGTAGTAGTAGTAGTAAGTAGTAGTAGTAGTAGTAGTAGTAGTAGTAAGTAGTAGTAGTAGTAGTAGTAGTAGTAGTAGTAGTAGTAGTAGTAGTAGTAGTAGTAGTAGTAGTAGTAGTAGTAGTAGTAGTAGTAGTAGTAGTAGTAGTATAGTAGTAGTAGTAGTAGTAGTAGTAGTAGTAGTAGTAGTAGTAGTAGTAGTAGTAGTAGTAGTAGTAGTAGTAGTAGTAGGCGAAATAATGGTAGTAATAGTAATGGCCGTATTAATAGTATTATTATTAGTAGTAGTAGTAGTAGTCGTAGTAGTGGTAGTAGTAGTAGTCATCGTTGTAGTAGTAATAGTAGTAGTAGTAGTAGTAGTAGTAGTCGTAGTGTAGTAGTAGTAGTAGTAGTCGTAGTAGTAGTAGTAGTAGTAGTAGTAGTAGTAGTAGTAGTAGTAGTAGTAGTAGTAGTAGTAGTAGTAGTAGTAGTAGTAGTAGATGTAGTAGCAGTAGGCCTCTGGGAGGCCTCTGGGAGGCCTCTTGGGTCTTCTGGGAGGCCTCTGGGAGGCCTCTTGGGTCGTCTGGGAGGCCCTGGGAGGCCGTGGGAGGCTTGCCGTTTCTGTTCCCGTTCGCGTTTCTTGGGTCGGCTAGAAGGCCGCGGGGGGGTAGACGGGCACGCGACCGGGCGGGAACGGAACGGGAACGGGAACGGGAACGGAACGGGAACGGGAACGAAAACGGGAACGGGAACGGGAACGAGAACGGGAACGGGAACGGGAACGGACCTATAGGGCGTTCTCGCCCTTTTACGGGGGCCCCCCGTCGGAGCGCGGCGTCGCCCGCGGCTCCGGGTGCGGCCTTGGACGGGCGCCCAGCGGCCGACGGACGGGCGGGACCCACCGCAGCGCCGAGGTCGGGGGCCGTTCTGCTGTCCTTCGGCTCCGCGCTGGCGCTCCCGCGGTCGGCTCCGGGCTCACGAGAGCGACGAGCAGAGGCGGGCCTCACGCGAGACGACGGCGCAGCGACCTTGCGCGGTGGCTCACGCGGGCCGCCAGCGCGGCACGCCACGTTGGAAGCGAGGGCGCTGACGCGCGACCTTACGCGGGCGGCTTGCGCGCCAAAGTCGGTGCAAACGACCCAGTTCTTTCTTCGGTGCCCACGTGGGAACCTCTGGACGTACCGCGATTTATCTGAACCTGCCTCGGCTCACCTCGGCTTATCTGCCCGAGTCCCAGCCGGTCGATGCGGAGAAGAGCCGCCACGCCCGGAGGGAGCACGGGCGCCCAGCGCGCCCCCCCCTCGTCCAGCGAAGGGCCGCTCGGAGGTGGCAGGTCAGGGGGGACCAGTTCAGGGCGAGAATAGGGGGCAAACGAACCTAATTACCTCGTTTTTGACCACCCTCGCTTCCAACAGATACCAAGCGATGCCAAACTGCGGCCTGTCCTGGTCAGGCCTCTTGACGAGGCGGCGCGTGGTATGACTTGGCTTTGCCTGGAAGCGAAAGCGGAGTAGGTAATTCTTTGGACACCCGAAATGGGTACCGAAAGAATGGGCACAATGCCCAACAACAAATGTTGTCCCAAACCAACAGCGGCCGCTGTTGGGCAAGCGGCCTTCTGTCTCGAATGGACACAGGCCGCGGCGGCGCGGACAGCGAGTCCTGTTCAAAATGAACAGGAACTGCTGTTGGGCATCGTGCCCATTCTTTCCGTGCCCATCTCGGGCGTCCAGAAATTCACGCTCTGAGAGAAAAGCATCCGTCCCGAGTCGGCGATGCGTCGCCGACCGATCGGCCATGGCGCTCCCGAGGGCGAGCCCGGGCGCCCCACGGGCGGGGCGGGGCCAGCCAGCGGGCCCTGCTCGTCGGCGAGGTGGGCGCCTGGGGGGTCGAGGCATGCTCCAGCTGGGCCGCTTCCCCGCCCCCGGCGGTTTGGAGGGGCCATGGGACACGCAGACAAATACACACAGAGAAGAGGATTCCCCTATACCTACACGACCGCCCTGCGGGTGATGAGGCGTTTTTTTTTTGGGGGGTGGGTGGGATCAAATGCCCACCGTGACTGACCTCCAGCCCGTCACCTCGGATTGGACAAGACGGACTGGATGAGATAAGCTGGATTGGATAAGAAAGCCCGCCGCAGGCGCCGACAACAATAAATTGATGGATTGGGTTGGGTGGATTGGATTGGATGGGGTAAGGTGGATTGAATAAGACAAGATGGGTTGGATTGGAAGAAGTGTATTGGATAAGATAAGATGGATTGGATTGGCCCGCCGCAGGCGCAGAAACAAATGAATTGATGGATTGGGTTGGGTGGATTGGATTGGGTGGGGTAAGGTAAGATGAGACAAGATGGGTTGGATAAGATAAGATGGATTCGATTGGACAAATATGGGTTGGATAAGATAAGCTGGATTGGATAAGAGAGCCCGCCGCAGGCGCCGAAACAAATGAATGATGAAATTAGCGACATGCGTTAGCGCCAGGACGCCAGGGACACCCTGGACACCGCCCGGCCCAACTGGGACATCTCCCGGCCACAGGCGGACGGGAAACGGACTTTCGCTCCTTCTGACACCCGGGACACCCGGGACACCGCCCGGCCGGACTGGGACACCTCCCAGCCACCGGCGGTCGGGAACGGACTTTCGCTCCTACTTCGGCCTAGCTACAGGAGGATCACGCGCAGCTTCGCCTCGCCCGCACGCACGACACGAACGCGAAACCCCCGAAAACGATTTCCCGAAAAAAACGATTTCCCGGTGGGGGGTCTCCGTTTCGCTGCGATCCCTCACCCCAACCTCGGAATTTCCCTGGTTTCTGTTTTCCCCCCCACTGCCCAATATTTTCACATATTTTCTCGGGAGCGGCAAAGAGGGGGGTGTCCAAGGGGGGGGGGTGCAAATCATGACCGGCGGCATGTGCGCGGCCCAGCGGGGGGGCCAGGGACGTAATGAAATAAGAAGAGGCGCCATGAAATCTGGGGAAACATCATGGCCCCTGCCATGATATCCCCCCCCCTAGTCATCACCCCCCTTTTTTCCGCCCCCGACTTTCATGGGAATCGACGATCACTTGTGTCTGTGTGTTTTTCCCCGTCCCCGGCTGTCTTCGGGCCCCAGCTCGGGTCTCCCACGGCCGCTCGGGGTGACTCGGCCCCCCCCCGGAACGCTTTTTCGGCGCGGCGCGGCCACTGGAAAGCACCCCGGGGCGGGACACGCCGCAGAACAAGACACAGAAACACGCCCGCCAATCTGTGGGGAACAAAAACAAAAAACACAAGAAACAAAAACACACACACAAAAACACACACAGGGGGGGGGAAAACACACACACAGCCTCGATGGGGAAACAAACAAAGAAAAAAACGACAAAAATCGTACCCTCATCCGCCTATCCCACCCTAGCGCTGCCCCCGAGACCGGCGCCCGGCGCGCCTCCCCCCTCTCCTCGCCCCGCCCCCGGCGGCGCGCCGTCCTGGGGCCTGTCCGGGCCGTCTGCGGGGGCGCTGCGCAGGCGGCGCTCCTGCCTCGGAGGGTGGGGGGGAGGGGGTTGAGCAGGGCCGGGGGGCCAGGTCCGCAGGGGCACCCCACACGGACGCCTCGGGTCCGGGCGAAAGGGGGCGACAGCAAAGGGGGGGGGTGAGAATCAGCTCACGCAGCTGATTTTTTCCCGGCGCCTTCCGGCGCCGGAGGCGCTGACGTATCGAGGAATGGGCCCCTCGGTGGGGCCGAAACCAGCTGCATGCAGCTAACCCCCCCTTTCCCGATCCCCCCCTTTCGTCCGGCCCGGACGTCGAGGGGAGCAACCAACCTGCTCGGTCAAGCTGGACCTGATGCACCACACCCGGCGTCAAGCCAGAACTCTGGGCAGAAGCGAAGAGTTGGACGTTGCACACCTTCGTCGGCTGAACCGACCGGCGAGGCGTTTGACCACCTTGACGGCCTCGTTTTTTGGTGGTCCTGCAGAGGACGGCTCTCTGCAGCGGAGGCATCTGCAGCGAGGGGAGGCATCTGCAGCGATATCCGATCCTGGGTCCGGGATGTGCATGGCCTGGATCGGTGCACGCGCATTCTACCCACCGCCCGAGACGGAAGGAGGAGGAGGAAGAGGAAGAGGAGGAGGAGGAGGAGGAGGAGGAGGAGGAGGAGGAGGAGAAGGAGGAGGAGGAGGAGGAGGAGGAGGAGGAGGAGCGCACGTAGCTGGGAAGACGGTGCCACAGCTACTGCACGGCACCAGCATCGCACTGCGGCTGGTGCAGCACTTCGCATCTGGTAATAATGGTATGAGAGCGTGGTGGCCTGTGGCCGCCGCGCAGGGCCCGCCCTCAGCTCCTGGTGGATGTGAGAGCTCAGGACAACGATTTGGTGACATCGTGAGCGTGGATGCTCCAGATTTCGTAATAAAGGGAGGGGGGTCTCACTTCGGGGGGGTCTCTCGTCCAGGCTATCTTGGAGGGCCCCGGGGGGGTCTGGGGACGATGTTTTGGAGGGTTCTCCCACGGGGGGGGTCTGAAATTAGGGAGCCCACAAAGGACGTACGCGCCCAGCTATGTACATGAACACGGCCCCTCGATCCGCGAGACCGGCCGCGTTATACGAACATTTGCGCAATGCGTACTCTCGAAACCAGCGTGGATTCATATACATATAACGGCGCACCGGGTCCGGGGGCCCGGGGCCGGGACCTCGACCACAAATGTGGGCCCCGGGGGCCCCGGAGGCTCGTCGGGGCTTGCCGGAGGCCTCCCCGGTCAGACAAGACGGCCCAAGAAGCGCCCAAGACGGCCCAAGCAACTTCCAAGAGGCCTCCAAGAGGGCTCCAAGATGCTGAAGGTGGCCTCCAGACGTCCAAGGACGCCCCCAAGACGCCCCAAGAAGCCTCCAACATGCGCCCCAAGAGGGCCCCTAGACGCAACAATTGGCCCATTCCCTTCGTAAAACGTACATTTTTCACAAAGTTGCCTTTTGGGCTTTCCGACGTTACAGGACGGCCCAAGAGGCGCCCAAGACCGCCCCAAGACGGCCCAAGAAGCTTCCAAGAGGGCCCCAGGACAGCCCAAGAGGGCCCCAAGACGGCCCAAGAGGCGCCCAAGATGGCCCAAGAGGGCCCCAAGACGGGCCCAAGAGGGGGCCCAGAGGGGGACCACGAACCGCAAGCTCGAGCCTTCCGCCCCAAGAGGCCGCCAGGAGGCCCCAAGGAGGCCCCTCAAGAGGTCCCAGGAGACCCCCAAGAGGCCCAAAGGAGGCCCCGAGAAGCCCCAAATCGGCCCCCAAAATGCTTCGAACCTGCTTCCAGGAGGCCTCCGACAGGTTCAGAGGCTCCCGAGAAGCTACGTCAAACTCCCAGCGAGCGGCCGGACGAGGCCCCCCAAAAAATCCCAAGAGGGTTCCAGTATTTGTATCCTTCAGCGCTCTCTGGCCTTCTTCCCCCTGCCCCCTTCCCTGCGACTTTCGTTGACTCAAGCTCGCCTCCTCTCCATTTCCTCTCTCTGCCTCTCTCTCTCTCTCTGTCTTTTTTTGTTCTCTCTCTCTCTCTCCATCTCTCTTCCTCTCTCTCTCTCTCTCTCCTTCGCTCTCTGTCTGTCTGTCTCTCTCTCTCCCTCTCTTTCTCTCTTTCTCTCTCTTCCTTTCACATTCTGTGTCCTTGCGACCTTCTGCAGTCCCCGACGTCGCCACGGCTGGATCCGCTCGAGCGTGTCTTGTGATGTGCGGCGGTGCGAAGCCCGTCCCACTGATCAAGGCACAGGTACGAAATGATGGGTCCATCATTTCTTGCCTTCCCATGTGCGTTTTCCCAATCGATTCCTGGGCCCGAGGTCGCAAAAATTACGACGTCGGAGGTCTGGGGAGGCGGGAAGCACGACCTGGACCTTCGACGTCTTGGAAAAATCACGACGGCGGTTTTTGTTAATTTTCGGTCTCCGGGCCCCCTCGCAGGTTCCCGGGACCGTCAGAAAACGACTCAGGATGAAAACGACTTGGGCTACAGGGCTATTGGGCTACAGGGCTATAGGGCTGTAGGGCTATAGGGCTATAGGGCTAGGGCCATAGGGCTATAGGGCTATGTGGGCTATTCGGCTATTGGGCTATAGGGTTGTTGGGCTGTAGAGCTATGGGGCTATAGGGCTACAGGGCTATAGGATCAGAGGTATATAGAGCTAAAGGGCTAGATGGATATAAGGATATAGGGCTATTGGGCTATAGTCCTATAGGGCTATACGGCTATAGGGCAATAGGGCTACAGGGCTATAGGGCACCCCCAGGCACCCCGGCACCCGGGCACCGGGCACCCAGGCACCCAGGCACCGGGCACCCGGGCACCCGGGCACCCGGGCACCCGGCCCAGCCGCATGGGGCCGGAATCTTGCCGAACCTCATCGAACCTTTTAATCCGCCAGGACCCTTACAGAGGCAAGCTCTGATTGGGTACTAACCCATGGCAACCGCCGCTACCTTCGTCGCCGCGATCGCCGCCGTCTTCATCGCCGCCGTCGTCGACGTCCTCGGGTTCTGTTCGGGCACCCTCTGGCCATCTCGTGGGGCACGCTGGGGGATTATCAGAGGCATCCGTAAGTATCCTGAGGGGCCCCGCGACTTCCCCCAGAGACTCTAACTACAGAAACTCCTTTCGTATTCCGGCCAGAAGCATCCAGAAACGATGTACATTAGCCCTGGCGGGGGGAATGATGGCGATGGTGATGTTCATGATGACGACGGTGACGATCCTAGCTAGAACCTAAGCGCGCGCGAAGCGCGCGCGTGGTTCTAGTGTACATGTACGTCCTTCTTTCGCTCCTGAGAAATGGCTTGTCTTGGAGGGTCCAGACCCCCTCCCTTTTATTGCGAAATCTGGCGTATTCGATCTCGCGACCGGGGGGGGGGGGCCGAGCCACAGGAGCGCGAGAGCGACGGGGCCCCGACGGCGACGCCGCGCGCCTCCGGACGGGGTGGACCACCGGGCCGTCCCTTCTCCTCCTCCTCCTCCTCCTCCTCCTCCTCCTCCTCCTCATCATTGTCCTCCTCCTCCTCATTGTCCTCCTCCTCCTCCTTCTCCTCCTCCTCCTCGCCGCCCTGCCTCTTTGCCTCGTCCTCCTCCTCCTCCTCCCTCACTCTTCCTCGGGGAGCTCGGAGGAATAGACACATTATGGGAGAGAAGAAGAAGTCGACGGCAGTGGCGACGGGGGCTCGCCGCGCGCCCCTGCCCGAGAGCCTATCCCGCCGCCAACGTTGAACGCCGAGGGTCTGAGAGAGAACGTGCGCCACCGCCGCTTGAACTGTGGAAAAGTACCCCGGGCGTCCCCCGGGAGCCCGGGTGTCCCCCCCCCCCCCTCCGAAAATCCCCCCCTCCCTCCTGGACCCCCCCCCCCGTTCCCCCCGCTTCCCCCCCCCCATAAATCCCTCCCCCGCCGGAAAATCGGGGGGGGGGGGGGGGGGTCACTCCCCCATACCTGGAGAATGGTTCTTCATCCCGAGTCGGTTCGTGACAGCCCCCTGGGGCCCGGTGAAAACAACTGGACGCTGAAACCAGCCCGAAAACCTGCCGCCGAGAGTCCCCACGGCGCGGGGGAGCCCCTGAGCCTACGGCCATCCACTTTTGCACATGGCGTGCCGCCGCGGCGGCCCCGGCGACACGCAGTGCCTTGCGAGCGGATGGCGTGCTGCTTCGCTCCGCGGGGCGGGAGGCTCCAGAGCTCGTGAGGCTGATGCCCGGCGGGCCTGGCTGTGGCTTGCACGTCGCGCCGAAGCGCGGTGGGGGCAGAAGCGGCGGCGCGCGACGCGCTGAGCCGAAGTGCCTGGCCGTCGCCTTGCCCCTGAACCCCCCCCTCCCTAGAGTTAGGTCGGGCATGTCCTCCTACAGGCGGATGTTGGACGGTTCTTTTTCTACAACCAAAATGTTCAAACATAGACCAAGGTAATCAACACATCGTCCCCACACTATCTAAAGACTATTTTTACCTAACAGCTCTTGCTGATAGGTTTCTAGTGGTCTCAAAAGAGAGCATCATGACTCCTCAGGGGGTTCTGGGCGGGACCCGGGGAGGCTGCCGTCGAAGCCGAAATCGCTTGGGACATCCTCGCAAAATCGCTCTTGGTGCCCCCAGAACTCCATTCCCGGGCCACATTTTGGATGCCCGGAGCCAACTGTAGGCCACTTCATGCTCTTCGACTTCCCAGAACTCCATTCCCGGGCCACATTTTGGATGCCCGGAGCCAACTGTAGGCCACTTCGTGCTCTTCGATTTCCCAGAACTCCATTCCCGGGCCACATTTTGGATGCCCGGAGCCAACTGTAGGCCACTTCGTGCTCTTCAAGTTCCCATAACTCCATTCCTGGGCATGATTTTGAATGCCCGGAGCCAACTGTAGGCCACTTCGTGTTCTTCTAGTTCCCAGAACTCCATTCCTGGGCCACATTTTGGCTGCTGAGGCAGGCTGATGCTGCGGCCGAGGCAGGCTGAGGCTGAGGCAGGCTGAGGCTGAGGCCGAGGCTGAAGGCAGACTGAGGCTGAGGCTGAAGCAGACTGAGGCTGAGGCTGAGGCAGGCTGAGGCTGAGGCTGAAGCAGGCTGATGCTGAGGCAGGCTGAGGCTGAGGCTGAGGCTGATGCAGGCTGAGGCTGAGGCAGGCTGAGGCTGAGGCCGAGGCTGAAGGCAGACTGAGGCTGAGGCTGAAGCAGGCTGAGGCTGAGGCTGAGGCAGGCTGAGGCTGAGGCAGGCTGAGGCTGAGGCTGAGGCAGGCTGAGGCTGAGGCTGTGACTGCGACTGCCGTTGCCGCTGCGACTGTCATCGCGAATGCGACTACGACTGCGAGAACAGCAGAATTCTACAACTGGATTTTCATCTGAATCTTAAGGGGAATGCTTTCAGATATGCTTCTACACATCGCTGTTAGGTTGCTTTGCCGGGATAATTGACTTTTCTCTAGAGGCACAAGAAACTGCATGAACAGAACTCCCTGAAGGTCCGCGCAGATTTGTGGGATCGGCGCCAGGGGCCGCGCCAGGGGCGCCGCCAGCGAGGCCTCAGCGCAGATCCAAGCAATCCGCGTGGAACTCAGAAATTTTAGGCACGGCAGCTCGGTGACAAACTCGGCTGGCGTGCACGCGGGCGGGACCGATGGCCAACATCTTCGGCCTCTGCGTGGCCCCTCGCCGGGCCCAGGGGGCCCAGGAGACCGTCAAGAAACAACGCAGGAGGAGAAGCCGGCGCCGGCAAGAAAAAAACGTGGGAGCAGAAACTGAGCAGGGACCGACTGTCCCGGCATTACTATAGGCCTACCACGACGTGTTTTTAGAACCCAGAAATGTTCTTAGAACAAGAACCATGTTTTTTTAAACCATGAGCCCGATGCGTTAAAACAAGCAGAGCCCCAGCCAGACAAGTTCTTGGAACATCTCGTGCAAACCACACACGGCTCTCAGAACATTCTTTGGTGGGCCTATAGGCGAGCCAGGACGCTTCGCCACTGCTTGAAGGAAGCTTATCTTCGTGCTGGCGTTCCGCCTTCGACTCCCGGCGACGACGGCGCGCCCACCGTCCGACCAGCCATAACTGGGGGAGCTGTGGTCCTCACCCCCCTGGAGGAACCCATCGCATCGACGATCTCTCGAGTCGACTCGAGAGGGGTGTCAAAATCGATGGGCCCCCGAGGGGGCAAGGAACACAGCTCCCCCAGTTGTGGCTGGCCCACCGTCCGTGCTGGCGTTCCGCCTTCGACTCCCGGCGACGACGGCGCGCCCACCGCCCTGGCGGCGGCCCACCTCGTGGCCGGAGGAGCCGCACGAGAGGCCCCGCCCCGGCCGCTGGCGCTGGCGGCTAGCCCGCCGGAGGGCCTCGGAGGCTGAGGAGGAGGTCGAGGTCGAGGTCGTGGTCGAGGAAAGGAGGAGGAGGAGGAGGAGGAGGAGGAGGGGGAGGAGGAGGAGGAGGAGGAGGAGGAGGAGGAGGGGGAGGAGGGGGAGGAGGGGGAGGAGGATGGATGGATGGATATGGATGGATGGATGGATGGATGGATGGATGGAGGATGGATGGATGGATGGATTTGGATGGAGGATGGAGGATGGAGGTCGAGTAGTAGGATGGAGCACGATGGAGGAGGAGGGGGGAGGAGGAGGAGGAGGAGGAGGAGGAGGAGGAGGAGGAGGAGGAGGAAGGGAGGAGGAGGAGGAGGAGGAGGAGGAGGAGGAGGAGGAGGATTCTCCCGCACGCAGCGCAAGCGATCAGGTCCCGGAGGCGGGCGCGCGGCGCGCGCGCGGCGACCCGTAAAGGATGACGGGGCGCCGCGCCCAAGCCGTGCGGCGCCCTCAGACGACCTCGTCCAACGAGGCCATCTGGACGGCCAGGTGGCCGTAGCAGCGCCGCAGGCCTGCCTGAGTAAGGCGGGGAGGGGGGGAGGGGGCCGAGAAGCTGCAGGACCTGAACGGGCGCGAGCGGCAAGGAGAATAGAGAAGCGCATTCTCCCGCACGCAGCGCAAGCGATCAGGTCCCGGAGGCGGGCGCGCGGCGCGCGCGCGGCGACCCGTAAAGGATGACGGGGCGCCGCGCCCAAGCCGTGCGGCGCCCTCAGACGACCTCGTCCAACGAGGCCATCTGGACGGCCAGGTGGCCGTAGCAGCCATACCCAGGCTCAAAGCCCTTGCGAAGTGACAAGGTTTTGGCGGGCGGCCGCGAGCAGAAGGGGCCACGCAGTGGGGCCACAGTTCAGAAAGGAAGCGACAAGGAAGTCGCTCGCGCCATCGAAGTAGGTGACACGGGCCCGAGCGGCATCAGGCAAGGCGGAAAGCATCGCGGCGGAAGCATCGTCGTGCAAGAAGCGCTCCGCGCTAGACGCCTGGCGCCAGCGACTACGCCAGAAGATACGACCAATATCTTCTGTGGCCGTATGAAAGTCTGTCGCGCCTGAGCCGCGGGGGCAAGCAGGGGTCAAGTGGAACCCCGCTGGCGTCTCGGCGAGCGGTACGCCTAACGCCAAAAGTAAATGGTTCCACCGAGTACGGAAGCCGCTTTGACCAAAGGTCGACAGAGGATCGGTGGGACCCAAATGCCGAAAGACCATCTCCAAAACCCGAACCACCGCTTTGTCAGAGCACCAGGCGTGCTGTGGCGGGTAAGACATGCTGCTCACTGGATCGGGAATGGTCATCCAAGCGTTGCCTGAGGACTCAAGGCAATCCGAAGGCAACAAAAGGTCACAGCGACGGGCTGACAGCAGCTCGTCGGGCTTCAAGGACATCGTGAACCCTGCCAGCAGCAAGGCGGCCATGACTGGCCAGTCCCAAGTGAAACAAACTGCCACCATAGCGCGCAAGAGCGCTCGTGGCATTGGCGGCCGAAGGCGAGGTGGCTGAGACCGCTTCCAGGCCCTCGCCACTCCCCACGCCTCGGTGAGAAAGGGCTTCCAATGAGGGAGACGTGCCTGGACGCCTATGATCGCGTGCACCAGGATGTTGAGCGGGAAACCTGCGTCGTGCAGCCACACGCCGAACGTTGCGAGGAACCTCGACAGCAGGATCCCACTACGATACAGCGGAAGTGGCGCCACCCCTGCGTCCTCGGCGCACCACAATTCGAACGCGTAGAGAGCTCTTTTGCGCCGATCGCCGGCCGAAGTCAGAACAGCGCCTGACCAGGGAGCGCTGGGAGGCTCCGTCTCTGCCGCCCTGCGGCGGCGGCGGCGCGCGGGGTGGGGGACTCGCCGAGGCCAGGCAAGGGTGGCACTCTCGTCGCGATGCCGCGCCGGCTCAGCCTCGCTGTGCAAGCCCGTACCAACCCTGGCCTCCGCCTCGGCGGCGCTGTCCACCTCCGCGAGGGCAGTTGGCGCTGCCACAGGCGAGGGCGAGTACGCCGCCGCCTCAGGGAATCCAGCGGAGGCGGCCTCTCTGACGCAATCAGCAAGACGAGAGCGGGCGATGCGCATCGCATCCTTGCGCCGCTCGAGCTCGGCTAAGAGCGTCTGCATTCGCTTCGCCAGCTCTCCCGCGCTCTCGCCAGTCTCTTCGCCTGTTCCCAGCATAACCTCGGTGAGAGCGGCCTCGGCAGCGGCGACCGAGGATAGGAATCGCGCGCGAGCGCGCCGGTCGGCACGCGCGCGCCGCGCAACCGCGGCCGCTGGGCCAGCGACTCGGCTGGTGCGCATCGCAACCGAGGTAGCGCACGCCCCGTCTTGGGGCAGGCCTCGAGCCGCGCGCGCAGAGGGCTCCAAGGAGTCGAGAAGGTGTGGCGCAGCCGCCAACGCGTCTGAGCCCTTCTCGTGCGCGGCTCCGCTAGGTTGGGGGAGATCCGCGCTATCAACGGGCGAGTCCACCGACAGAAGTGCGGCGCGAGGCGCGGCCGCGGGGCCAAGAGACCTCGGACTGGCCCCGGCACGGGGTGCGGCCTCAAGCATGGCGAAGGAGGCGGCGGCGGGCCCCGAGGCCGCGGGTATGCGCGCAAGCGCGTTCGGCCGCAATCGATCCGCAGGAACCCGCATGGGTGCACCGTCGACGCGTAATGCTGGTGGCGCACTGGCGGCGCGAGCAGGAGGGCCCATGCTGATCCTGGCGCCCCGCGCCGAGAATGCGCCAACCGGCAAGCTCCCGGAGCTCGCCGAGCCGGTGACCGTGGGCGGGTCGCGAGCTCCGGAAGCGAGGTCGCAAGCGGGGTCGCTGCCGGAGCCGCGCGGCGGCGGAGCGGCCGCGAAGCGGGCGGCTGGGCCAGCCGAGCGGGTGCTCGCGCGAGCGCCCCGCGGCGGCGGTGCGCGGCGAGAGCCCCGCGGCGACGCCACTGGCGGCGCGTCCTGCGAGTCCGACTGGCGTCGCGGGGCGCGGTCGGAAAAAGTATGCGGAACGCGGGCGCCGTCCCCCGGCGCAAGCGGCGCGTCGCGCCACTTCGAGGTGCTGCCGAGCCGGGCGCTGCTGGAGGGGGCACCGGGCGCGCCTGCTCCAAGGCCCGGGCTCCAGGAGCGCGAAGGCAAAGGCTCACGCCCCTCGTCCGCCGACGCGGCGGCGCGATGGCGCGCGCAAGGCTGGCCCCACAGCGCGAAATTGGCAGTGCGCCTGGCCCTACGACCCGGGGGCGGCGCGGCCGCGCCAGGCGCCGAGAGCAGCGCCGCGGGCGCACGAGCAGCGCGCGCACGACGGGGGCGCTCAGCGCGAACCGTTTCCGCTGGACGAGCTGGCCGATGGCGCCTTCCGCGCGAAGAGCAGGGCGCCGAGGGAGTCCCAGAGGCGGAGGCCCCGAAATCCGGCCGTGCTCCGCCCAGCTCGGGCTGCAAGCACTGGCAGGCGCCGGCGGCGCGCCCGTCTGGCCACGGCCGCGCTCTTGCATATAGGCGCGGGCCCGCACGAACGCCTCCGCGGCAAGTCCCGTGCTCCCGTTCCTGGCAAGGTAGGGTTCCCGCTCCCGGCTGGCAACGAGAAGCCTCGCCAAGCAGGAGCGACTTCGCGTCGCAGAACCTGGACCAGAGGGGAGAGGCGTCCGCGCGGTCCGATGCGGACAATGGGCGATGGCGCGCCCTGTCCGGGCGGTGCGGCGTGGCCAACCGCCGGAACTGGCGTTCCATGGCCGACCGGTCGGCACCCGGTTTGAGCTGAAGGAGCTCGCGCGCCGTCCGCACCTTTGCAACCTTGGCGGGTCGCTTGGGATCGGTCCGGGCGGCGAGCCTCGGCCTGGCCGCCGAAAGCTGGGCGGGCGCGCCGGGCGGGCCAGCGGCAACGGGGGCCGCACCCGGCCTGAAGGGCGCTTCGAAAGGCGACGCGCCCTGGGAGGCTTCATGGGGAAGCGCGGAGAGCTCAGCGGCACCTTCGGCGCTCCTTCCCCCGAGGCATCCGCCGCCCACCGCGGGAGAGGCGTTCCGCCTAGGAATCTCTGGAGCCTCGGCTTGCGCTGGGTCGGGCTGCGGAAGCGTGCCGGGAGCTTCGAGAAAAACCGGCGCCTCGACCCCAGTTGCGGCGGCCGCGCTTGCAAACCATGCGTCGGCCGCGGGGGCGGGCGAGAGAGGGGGACGTGCCGCCAGACCATGGGCGGCCCGGGCATTCCCCCGCGCAAGGAGCCCCTGTGCTAGGACTAGCGCGGCGAGCCGTCCCCATAGGCAAGTGGGGTAGGGAGAATGCGCGTCAGCAAGTGCGACCCAATCGAACCTACCGAAATCGCCCGCCTCAGCGTCGACCAGCCACGCAGGAGCCTCCCTGGAGGGGGGGCGCACAGGCCGATTCCTGGTGGGGTCATCCGCCCTGTGGACGTCGGTGGGCACATAGAGGCCACCCATGTATAAGCCACCGCTCAAGATGTAAGGCAAAGCCGTGCTGAGGACATGGGAAAGCCCTGGAGAGCTGCTGCGACCGTGGGCGGCCGCGCCCAAGGCGACCTTAGAATCGAGCAGCACAGGGATCCGAGAGTCCGGCATGCGAACGCAGCAGTACTTGCACAGACTCTTGAAAACAGTGGCCTCCAGGATGTTGATGTGACGCGGCATTCGAAATTCCCATTTATAGGCCAGGCGGAAGTGCAGCGCTTCCGACAGTTCGCTTATCCAGTGCGGCGCGACTGGGGGCTCAATGGAAGGGAGCCCCAAATCGCGATGCAGCTGGGTGAGCTCGGGGCCTAATGGGACTCCCCGGTCCAGCACGGCAAGCAAACTTCGGTTGTGGAGGACCGTGTGCCACCCTCCGTGCTCAGACCGGCGCCACAACTCTTGGGAGAGATGTGGACTGATCGAGGAGCGGACCACTCCCCCCCAGCCGAGGGAGGCGTCCGTGCCGAACACTTCGGGGGAGTAGCCCGCGCGAAGGTCGGTAATGGCGACAAAGGCCAGGTAAGTGCAGGCTAGCAGCTCGTCGCGAACGGAGACGGGGAGCTC